TTTTTATTTCAATTATTTATATTCACTGGGCTTAAGATTTTAGAAATAATTTACAATACATGTATTATAGCTGTCCCCCTCCCCCCAATCAGTAACATCAAGAACTTACAGGCATTTTTTTCTGAACCCACTTACTGTATAAGGACCTTCTTCCTATACTCTGATAAATACCTATTTATCCTTAAGGTCTAGCTTAAAAATCTGTACTTGAGAAAGCCTTCCCAGAGTGCATGATTTCAACAAACATAGTTAGCACTTACCCAAACCACGATTATCATACCTGTCACAATGTAACGTAAATATTTTTGTTTATAAGCCCATCACTTGAAGACAATTTAAGAGAACAGGGACCATGTCCTTCTCATCCATTTATTCATTAGCTCTTTCCTTGTTCAGGTCCTCAGCAAGGCCTCTTCTCTGCCCAGCTCCCACTCCCACCTGTCTGAGCTCTGGCTAAATCCTCTTCATCTTTCAGCCTTCACACAAGTATCACTTTTTCTGAGAGGCTTTCCCTAACAGCCTAATGGAAGGCAGGCTTCCCTTTACTCTCTCCTTTAGCGTCCTTTCATTTACAGCGGGGGTCCCCAACCCCCGGGCTGTGGACCGGTAGCGGTCCATGGCCTGTTAGGACCCGGGCCGCACAGGAGGAGCAGCGGGCGCGCGAGCGGAGCTTCAGAACCTGCCGCTCCCCGTCGCTCTCATTTCTGCCTGAACAATCCCCCGCCACCCCGTGGAAAAAACGTCTTCCACGAAACCGGTCCCTGGTGCCAAAAAGGTTGGGGACTGCTGATTTACAGTACTTATCACAATGGCAATAGCATTTTAATGTGTACTTGTTTCTTAAATTTCACTCTCCCGCATAAGATCATAAGCTGCATGGGTACAGGGATATGTTTCTTTTATTCACTCCCGGAAGAGTCAGTACCAAGTACCGTGCCCGATACAAAGTAGGGCCACTACGAATATTTTGTTGAATGAATTAATCCTATCTTTAGTACTCAGCTTTTAGCAAAGACTCAACACTTACTAAATGAATGTCAAACTGCCAAGAGCCACAAAATTAAAACACAAGTAAAATAAACACGATAGCTCACTGTATTTGACTGAACAAGTCAATGACAGTGCATATTATCTTCATTAGCCTGGAAATGGGGGAGAGATGACCCCAGTTTTCTACAGGGTCATGAACAGAGATGTGAGCCTCTCATTTCAGAGGGCAAAAGAAAGGATGGTTGGCAGTAGCACAATCAGCTGAAATAGCTGGCAAGTTAGTTCTTTGCAACTTTGGTCTTGTGGAAACTGCAGCCTTGATTAAATGCCTAAAGCTGACAGGCCACTTGTGGTGAGGTGGCTTCTGGGGACATGCCATCTCCACCCCGGTACCTAAACTTACAAATGCACGTCTATACACCACCCCCACCCCCCGGCCCCGCCGCCACACACACACACAACATGCACCTAGTCATTTACAAAGCTCATTGTTTTTTATTTCTCACTTCCATTCCCATGTTCAATGTCACTTTGGAATCTTTATACTTTTATTTTTTTACTGCATCTACCATCTGAAACACTCTCTCCCTGTTCTTGGGCATATATCTCAAATTCCTTCTCCTTCATAAAATTATTTTTATAATCATCTACTTCTTTAATAAGCCTTATTTCCTTCCTCCTCCATTAATCTGTCAATTCCTTAAGAGCAGGGCCTGTGGTGCATCTGCTATAACCGCTTACTACTGAGGTCAGTGCTGTGCACACACGACTCTCTACTTACTGACATGATAATAATACATTGTAAGTAAAAGAACAAGTTACGGTAGTTACATTTTTCCAAACTTGAGGCCAGAAGTTCAATTTCAGTGTCAAATATGATCAAGAAGCTGGATAACAGACATTCATGCAGGAAAAGAAGGAAAGCTCTCTTGCAAATATATTTTCATAAAATTATCCCTCAAAGTGTCAATAACCAGCAAATGCTTCAACAAGTATTCCTAGAAGTGAAAAACACCCAACCTTTAAACAGAGTTCCGAAAAGTAGTGGCACAATGTACTTGCTACACTTGTACTTGCTACTTAGTTGTATGGCACTAGTGAGTATGGTAGGTTGATTACTCTGTTACTGGCCCTGACTGCATCCTTTTCTTCCACTGTTCCCTGCATCTGGAATCTTTTCTTCATTCTCTGTTTGTTGAAATCATATATTTATTTATTTCAAGGTTCAGCTCAAATATCTAAGAAGTATTTCCTGACCATCCTGACCAGGAGTGAATCTGTTCCTCTCAACTCCCAAACCACTTTCTTACAATGATGAAAAATGACTTCTAGGGAAGGGAGGCTGGCACACCTGGACTTGGTTTTGGAGTTAGAGAGACTCAAGCTCTTTTGTTTTTAGATCTGTGACAAGGTGAAGATATGTTTCTTTGTTGTCCCCTTTTGGATGCTAAGTTGATTTCTCATTTACCCTTTCACTGAGGGTGTAGTTTTTTGGGGTTCGAGTTTCATGCAGGAGTCTCCTGTTATAGCTAATGCCTGCCTAAAACATGTACTTATATCTCCTACCCCCGTACAGCCATTAAGAGAGAAAGTTCTAGGTCTCCAGTGTTTGGTAAAAGTCAACAGGGAGAAAAATAGCTTTTGTGCTTATCTCCTGGAATTCCTGCTCATGTTCATTTTTGACTTTTATGGAATCAATCCTTTTCATGTCTGCCCAACAAAAGAGGTGTTAACTTTATCCACGATTTTTTAAAAATTAAATTAAATTTATTTATTTTTGGCTGTGTTGGGTCTTCGTTGCTGCGTGCAGGCTTTCTCTAGTTGCGGCGAGCGGGGGCTCCTCGTTGCAGTGTGCGGGCTTCTCATTGCGGTGGCTTCTCTTGTTGCAGAGCACGGGCTCTAGGCGGGCGGGTATCAGTAGTTGTGGCTTGTGGGCTCAGTAGTTGTGGCTCGCGGGCTCTAGAGCGCAGGCTCAGTAGTGGTGGCACACGGGCTTAGTTACGCCACGGCATGTGGGATCTTCCCGGACCAGGGCTTGTACCCATGTCCCCTGCACTGGCAGGCGGATTCTCAACCACTGAGCCACCAGGGAAGCCCTTATCCATTGTTTTTTAAATCATTTTTGTAGTTTCAATTATTCACAGAAATTACCTTGAGATATACATATAAAGATAGAATTAATATAATTAATGACACCATTAGGATATTATAAAAGTCAGAAGACTTTCATGGGTAAAAAAAATTGTCACCAAACTCATGATAAACCCTAGGAATTAAAGAAAAGAATCCTTCCTCCAAGTATTTTTTTTTTGGAAGGACAGGAGAGAAGCAAGAATAGAACAGTTCAATATACGTACATCTAAGGAATTTCCCCTAATTGCCTTTCTCAAAACTCACTGCCTTGGTAGAAAGATACTGAAGATGTATGGAGAATACTGCACCTAAGTAAAATTCTATCCATTTCTGAAACAAAAAAAGTTTGGGAACTAAAGGCTCCCAGCACTTGGTTTCACTGATGCATTTAATCTCATCAGATTTAGTACATCAGCTAAATACAACGGAAAAAGCAACACAACTGAAGTTTTTTTTTTTTTTTTTGCGGTACGTGGGCCTCTCACTGTTGTGGCCTCTCCCATTGAGGAGCACAGGCTCCGGACATGCAGGCTCAGCAGCCATGGCTCACAGGCCCAGCCGCTCCGCGGCATGTGGGATCTTCCCGGACCGGGGCACGAACCCGTGTCCCCTGCATCGGCAGGCGGACTACTCAACCACTGCGCCACCAGGGAAGCCCAACTGAAGGTATTTTTATCTGAACCACTTTATAGACACTACAAATTACAAAAACAGCTGTAACAAAACCAGCGCCTACCACTACCAGGATGAAGATCTGAAAGGAAGCAAGTGGGTTCTTGCTACCTGCCAAGTCATTAATTGCTTTACTTGCTCCAGAGCCGGGAAAACTTAGGTGCATATAAAGAAACATAATATGGAATATAGCTCACAGCACAATATGATGAAAAAATCTTTTGATCCACAAATATAGCTTTGATTGACAGTTTATTAAATACACTACATTTGTACCTTATTCTGTAGTTTTTTAAATCATTCACACATGGACTTAGTAAAAATGTACTTTATAGAAAACCATCTGTAAAACTAAAATAAAAATAAAAATGCACATTTTGCCCACATCTTAAACTGCTGAAAATGTTAGGAATTATTTTATTGAAGGTGATCCTGAAACATGAGGTGACTTGAGTTTATTAAATCTGACACCAGACCATGACTACAGTAGTGTTAATGTTGAAATGTGGATGCAAAAATGTCTACTAACTAAACTGTTATCTAACAGTGTTTGAGAAACAGGACAATATAAAGTATTATTTTTCCTTTACAGACACTTCTCTAAATCCATTTTCTGTACACTTTTTTCTCTCCCATTCATAGAATTAGCTGTGCAGATTGATGAGGCAAAAACAAAACAGAAGAAAACAACAAACGAACTAGGTCCTATTTACAAAACATGCAAAGGGAGAATTTTAAGTAGGTGTTATGGCAGAACTGGTTAAAACTAAATACAGTCGAGTGACAGGACATACCTTTACTTCTGCAAAATATAAGTCCTTCCCCCATCCTTTCTGGGAGAAATACATTTTCAGGGTGGGGACTGTAAAACGGCATACAATGCAAAGACAGAAATAAAGAAGTGTGCAAATTCTTTATATTTCCAGCTGTTGAGACAATATTTTTGAGAGTTGAGGTTACCTCTAGCGGCGAAACCAGAGCCAGCTATTAAGCAGCCAGAATGCTACAGTAATTGAATACATGACCATTTCTCTTTTAGCACGTTCTTTGTTCTCCTCTTCCAGAAGTTGTAGACGTCTATTTAGTTTGATTATCTAAGTAAAAAACATCAAAAAATGAATAGAAGCTTTAACGCATGATGCAATCAGATTCTTACAAAGTAGGTTAATTTGTAAAAAGAATTATTACAAACATGAAGAGTTTCATCTGGAGCAAAATAAGGAAAGAGCTATGTATAGAAAACATGTTACCCGCGGCAATTTAAATTCACTTAAATTCTCTTCTCTTATGAGCTTCTGTCACTCAGCTTCAGTTTTTCACCTTTAACCTGCTTTAACTGTTTTATGCCTTCTCTGAGTTACTAAAAGGATCCCAATAATTAAGCTACTATAGTGGGCCCTGTGACCGGCCACCCTTCAGGACTAAAAGGCTAATTCTCTACCTGTTAGGAGTGTCACTGGTTGACAGCACTGTCCTCGGCTGTTGGTCCCTACTGTGAATAGCCCTGGGCTGAACAACTGTCTTGCTCAAGTTCGTGCTCTCTTATGAAGGCAGCATGAATCCACCGACTGGTCTGTGATGGGGTTAAAAGGCCCAGGCCCCTTGCTCCAACTGTGAAGGGTCATCTCAGCTTCAGAGCAATTTATGGATGCACTGGTTTGCTTAAAATGTTAGGATTCTTTGTTATTGGCTAGAATTACATCAATCCATTTTGGTAATACTGCTTTATGCTGATCAAAACATGTAAACAGTGGTTTAATACGTCTTTAATCAAAATGGGAAAGTCAATTATGGTTTAATAAATAGTTTGATAGATAAAATATTTTAATCCATGGGTTCCACTGGACAGAAAAGGATAAAATGTTAGGAACTACCACTTTAAATATTATATGAATATAATTTAGGATTATGATATTTGGTACATTAAATACCTGTCGTCTTAATGAAGCTGCATCTACAACAGTCATGTCATCTGAGGTTCCTTCAATCGTTGTATCTATATGTGAAATGCCATACCTAGCAGATAAGAAATAAAAATATGATTTAGTATTAGAATAGAACTAAAAGTACCTGGCAAGTCAAATCATGTAATATATTGTGTAATGCTCAGAGAATTGTTAAAAAGACTGGTATTTAACAGTACAAATTACTAAAATATTTACCAATCTGAACGGGTACTAACAAAGGAAAGGAAAGAGCTTAGCGTAATAACTACCTACAATACTAGGAATGTGTCCTGAAAGTTTGAGAAAGAGAAGAAACCCTGACTAAAGATATAAATAAGGAGACACTTTTCAACTCAGAGGGACGGGCAGTGTTAAAAAGGATACCTGGCTGAAAAGATTTGAGAGCTGCTGTGCTAGCATATAACGAAATACAATTCTCCCACCATCTGATGTCTGTATGTGGTTCCCCAGAAGTCCCTGCTGAGACTCATGGCAGGGAACACAAAGTAAACAAACTCCAGCTGAAAAAGGAAGACTCTGATCATGTTTTATTTCTCCTACTCTTCTCAGTGCCTCTTCTCTTGCCATTTCCACTCTTCACTTCTTATTTCCAATTACTTATTCTCTACTGTGTCTCCATAGAAGCAATTATAAAATCACCTGAATACATCCTGTCACTACATTCAGATCCAGAATTTAAATACTATAATTAAGAAGCGGTGTATAAAATAATACTGGAAAGCCACTAAGACAAACCTTAGAGAAACATTAAAAAGTATTTCTTGTTCAAATGCAGTTACTTCTAAAGGCGCACCGATTTTTAAATGAATGACAATAAACTTCTGAGCTACAAATGCACACAAATGCTATTATTCCTCTTTGCCCAGATTTCCACTTTTAAAATATATTTTACAATTCACATACCATATAATTCACCTGGTATATTTATATCCTTACTATTTTAATCCTGTATGGTTATTTCAGTAAAATGGCACATTAACTTTTCCAAATGAGTGGATTATAAATAAACTGAATTTAAAAGTTACTCCTATGTAATCTACAGAGTTGGCACATAGAGGTAATATTGATATTTTTAATATTTCAAGCAAGTCCCTATTACAAAAAGCATATTACCACACAAAGGTGTATGAATAGAATTATATTTTTCATCCAGACACGTTAAAGACAAGTCTATTCAGAAAATCCTTTTGTTACAAATGCCACTGAAAATAATTCAAAAATACTTTAATAAATAACGTAAAACAATTTTTAATTGTATAATCCTGCAGTGTCATCATTCTGAACGCTGATTTTAATTACATAGGTTGCAGTTTCAATGATAGATGGTATGTACTGACTTTAGATAATCTAGAACAATCCCTAGATGTTCTTTTTAGGGCTAAATTAACTTGCTTTCTCCTAATCTGCCCCTTCCTTCATGGGAACACAGCAAATATACTGGAATACCGAGAGTAACGGCATCAGATAGAGAAGTTAGCTACTAAGTTAGTAGGTGCTAAGAACTATGGCTTTACAAACATCTGAGTTAATTATTCCTTTGAACAGTAAACAGAATTCTTAAACAATTAGTGGAAAAAATAAGGGTTTGAAGATTCCTCTTCTCTACACTTTATCCTCAAAACAAAACTTTTCTGTTTCTGTGAGGTCATACATGAGATAAATAATTGGGGGAAAAAAATCAAACAGTAGAAGCAATTGCTTCAAAGGTAAAGGGACCCAGACTGAAGAGAGAGGATGAAGTATAACTGAAAGGGACTCCCCACAATTTAGATCCTGAACTAAGGTTTTAAATATCTGTAAAGGAAATCTTCATTTGCTAAGAAATCTAAGGCTATGACAAAAGACTTTACCTGTGTAATTTGACTTAAAACTAAAACCTGTATTGATCAGAGCTAAAAACTCTGTAAGAAATTTAAGTCAGATCACTGCCTGAAAATACTTTCACAGAAAAATAAAAGGATCACAAACTTATGAGAAATACACAAGGAAAAACTTAAAACGGACTGAGTTAATATTGTAAAAAGAAACAAGTCAGCAGAGTGGAAAGGGACCCCTAAGGACACACTTTTCAATTTTCTAACCTGAATTCAGTATTAATGAGATACCAATATTTCCCTCTTTTCTTGCCTAAAAATGAACGTGCCAGCTTGCTTCCTCTCATCATAGAAATAATGCTGCCAGTTTTAAATCTACTGCTACAGATAATCCATTTCTGCTTAAAATAAATAAAACTGGCTCTGAAAAAATTACAGAAATGGTATCTGTAAATACCAACCAATTTTTTTTTTTTTTTTACCCTAGAAGTTGGGAAATGAGATTTTGGCACCTGAGAACCTTAAAGTATTCGTATGTGCCATTCTATCTGTCCTTGTGCATGACAGGACGAAATAACTACTCAGGCTAAGCATATCTGAAAGTGTGAAAGGGACAAAAATAAGAGAGAAAAACTTAATCAACGGATGACAAAAATTCTTAAAACTAAATTCTCTTTCTAAACATTTAACTTCTCAGGTTACCAATGCTGATTTCCCCCAATTTAAGAGGATGCTTTACAGACACATTTATCTACACACTGAAAGTGACATTACAGACAATTAACAACTAAAAAGGAAATGCTGGACAGAACCTCAGGCAACAATTAAAATGATGCACATAAAACAAGGTTTAAGATGATTTTTTTCTGTGTTTTAGCATGATCGCCTATAAGCTATTAAAACCATGTTTAAATACCCTGTCTCTGATGTTCCCATGATAATGTATCATAACTATTTTTCTTTATACTCTTGGCCAAATGTCATGAATGATTAGACTCACTGTTCTCAGAGAAAAACAGGATGTACTCATAGAGAAAAGCTGTAGAGATTCAAGCTATAATATAAAGGTGTGGCTACTACATGCATTACGTCCTGCAAACTACATGTTCAGTCAACTCTTTACCCTGGTAATTACAAAGTCTCAAAGTTTACCTGGCGTTGTCATGATGAGCGTTAGAGGTGGTGGCAGCAGACCCACCACGCAACACAGGTCTAAGGCAGGTTTTTGCGGGAGAAGGCACAAGACAGAATCAGGAACCAGAGAGTAACAAGATAAAAGCAAAAATAAAACAAAAATAAGACAAATAAATGTCAAATATGTTTGTATGTTTCAACACAATATATTTCAAACACTTCAAATATCTTTGCCTCACTGTCCTCCATTTTATGATTTTCATAAGTTTAATATCTTACAATGTGGTAAAAAACAAAGGGAACCTACGTTTTTCATAACAAAATAGCACCAGCATATAATTTTTTTGGTGCTTATATTCTGATTTATGAAATTCAAGACAGAGGACAACTCTGTTCAAAATGTATAATTTCTCTCTTCTAGTTGGAAAAAAAATCACCAGCAACTTTAGAAGCATGCCAAGAACTGGTTAGTAGCACCTGCATCATCATGGTTGCTCATCTGATATCAAAGCTCTATCTCAAAAGTGAAAAATTTCAAGAAACTCCCATTTCTCACAATTCCTTGCCTCCCACCTCATTAATTTTGCTTAGTGCCTGATACCTTAATATAGCTGTGTCTCATTCAAACCCTCAGCTCTCAAGAGCAAAACTGCAAGCCTCAGTTCTGGAGCTAAGGAGATCAGGGACATGCTTTGAGGGGCATACTGCAGCACATTACAGGAAGTGCAATCAAATATGTGAGTCTGACCTTGAGAGACAACAGAAGCGACATACAGGACTGCTGGAAATGAAGACTAAGGTGCACTGGATTTTCACCGAGTACATACTTTGATTCTAGAGCACAATCAGTTCTCTACCTAGGTAAGCAGTAACCTTTCCAATAAATTTTATTTTATTTTTTAAATCAGAAAACAAAAGCTCTATGTGGTCACTGGTCAATTCCCCAAAAAGTAATCAGCAATATTTATAACCAGAGAAAGGAGACTGGGGTATAGAACCCATATAAGGATTTGAAGAATTATTACATTCTATTTTGAATGTCTCCTACTCTACAGACTGATCAGGTTTTGCCTGAATTTAAGTATCAAGACAATTCTTACAGTAAACACTTAGTACCAAATGCACTATTTTTTTCCTGCAAGTTGGCACAGCTGTAGAATTTTGGTTACAATACAAATCACTATTTTATGTCAGGTCAGTTTATGCAAGAAAATTTGAATGTTTAGCTTGTATGTTTCCTAAAGGCACTACTGGTGCTTAAAGAAATTTTCCAGAGCCTACAGGATAAGAGACTTTTGGGTCAGATGTTAGACTTCTATTTTGTTGGCTAAAGAACAGTGAAAAATTACATATGCTTGAGACAGGTTTTCAACTCATCCCATCCTACTAATTAATTTATTCTGTGACATTAGGAAAACTTACTTAACTACAATCCTACACTACATTAACATAAGAAAGGCTAAAAATGAAGCCACCGCTTTGTGTTACCTAAAGCTTTTTTTAAAAACAATCATACATTGCTCAAAAGGAGCTGCCATATTCAACATATTCCACCACAGAGATTTCCCTTTTATAATGCAGAGCCAGAAAATAATACAGTTACCTTTCACAACGTATTTCATTTTGTCTTCTCATACTGGCAATTGACACATATAATATAAAAGTAAATTAGAGAGGTATTTGGCAAAGTTATAAACTTCAAGTACCACTTTCTACTCTAACTATGACTTAATATGTTAAAAAATCTTTTTAAGTTTGAAAATATGTTTTGTAATTAAAGTGGCAAAAGGGAATGAGATTCAAGGCTCTACAAGTTCCGCATTAACTTGTAATACTGACGTTTTTGAGTAAATAAATGGTCTTAGTAGAATATGTTTCTTTGCTAAAAAAATATGGAAACTTTTACAGTAAGTAAACAGTTTGGATGTATCAGGAATTATATGAATATTTTAAAAATTAAAAATTAAAATTTAAAAATGATAAATAACAAACACTGTTTCAACTGCAACTTTGCATTTCTAGGTCTTCCAAGTAATATATTTATATGGATACCTGCAAAAAATGTAAATTATTTACATACTGGTTTCTTATTCTTTTCATTCAAAGCTAGTATAATCTGTTAAAGAAATAATCAACCCCCCCCCCCCCCCCCCCCGCCGCTTTTTTGGGTCATGCCACGCAGCATGTGGGATCTTAGTTCCCTGACCAGGGATCGAACCCTCGCCCCCTGCAGTGGAAGCGTGGAGTCTTAACCACTGGACCGCCAGGGAAGTCCCTCAAGCTCCTTCTAAAAGTAAAACTTTAAGCATGCTGAACATGACTAATCTGTTAATACTTAAATAATGTTCTTTCATAGGGACTAAGTTTCTTTTTAAAAACGTTAATATTTTGCCTTGGCGAGTGAGATACAGAGCTCTAGCAGGTGTCAGAAGACATGAGCATTTCATAACTAGCAAGGACTAAACAGCATTTTAAATCCAAAGAACACACCTGGTGCTTGTCCCAGGTGTTTTTGTAAATTTTTGACACCTCAGTTTTCCAAATGCACAGACAGCACTGACCTATGTAAATAAACATTTCTAATGTATACCTAGGATTTAACTTTGTTTTCAGATGAACTTGGTTTTAGATCATGTAAGTTCTCAAGATGAGAAAACAAAAATACATAAACCTTTCAACAGTGTCCCTCAAAGTATAAACTAAAAATAGTTCTCATGCCAAACAACTGTGGAAATGCATTATTTTATGATAATAAAACAGGCAGACAGGTTTTTTCTTTCATTCTGCCAAATAGTTCTAACTTAATTTAACTATACCTAATGTGATGGCTTAAGACCAAAGATAAGATATTGCATTAGCGTAACAGCCAGGAATAAAAAGCAGAAAGGAAAAAAAATGATGTGCAGAGCAAGGAACATAAAAGCACTTAAAACTTTATAAGCAGTATTATTTTATAGTCATGCAAATAGAACATTATCCAAATTTCACATTCCTATTTCTTATATCTGGTAAGTCATGCTAGACAGTTCTCGTAGTAGAAATAAAAATTGATTTGGCGCTTACAACTCTGATTA